CACTCCCCTGCCCTTGACATATGTACCCCAGCATAACTTCCTTCCCTTACAAACCAGCCACGTCAACAGTGGTCACTCTTGGCGTCTGGTTCTCTTCCAATCAGTGCAAATAGGTGTCTGGCACAGGAAGGCGGCACCCAATATATCGGAGGTAAGTTTAATGAGCACCTAATGTGTGAGCAATGTTGGATCTGGCCATGGGGAAGGGTGACATAAACATGAAAGAGAGGGTCCCTGTCCTTCAGAATCTGTGAATCTCAAGTGGGCACATTAGTAGCTGCTCCCATGTTGGATGCCATCAGAGCAAAACTGCATGCTGTGAGGGGTCTGAGGAGGGGACTACTCAAAAATGCTCGGAGGGACAGGGTAAAGGACGTGTCGCTAGTCCCTGAGCAGCAGGTAAGGTTTCCAGCGGGGATAGAGAACAGAAAGCCAACAACTCCTGCTGCTGTGGAAGGCCCCGGGGCTGAGGGGTTAGGGGAAGCCTGCAGGGACATAAAGCTGGGACTGAGGCAGAAGCTTCAGCAGTCGTTAAGAGAGAGAAGGAACGAGAAGGACTCTGCCCCGAACCTGGAGAGAGTCCTCCCTCCCATGTCCTTGCAGCTTCTCAGCCCACCTCCTTCCTTCCTTTGCCCCATGACTTGTGCTCCAACTGCCTCCTGGGCTCCTCCTTTCAAGCTGGGAAGTCTTAGTCAACGGGTTTGCAGTTCCTGATGCCACTGTGCTTCCTCCATCTGCTTCATCATGCGCTCCCTGCCTCTCTTCTCTGGACTCTCAGCGTATCCTTAGCCACCACACCACTGTGCCCATACCCAGAATACCCCACTTTCCTCTCCCTTATATCCACCCCCCAGGCCTGCCTGCCCTCAACATCTTGGCCATGCCTTGCCCTTTCTGCACCCTCACCTCTTCCTTGACCCTGAGGGCTTTCTGCTACACCCCGAGAGCAAGCTGAACCCAGTTCGAGACGCCAAAGCCCACACGCAGGGTGCCTCGGCTTCCCTCTCTCTGCTCGTCCTCTGCCACAGCCTGCCCTCCCCTAACGCCCACTCCTACTGAAGGAGTCAGGGGAACAGTGGTGGCGTAAGGATCATGTGGCAGGCGCAGGAGCTCCTCCACAGCATCCCTGGTCAGTGACTTAGATATTTCCACTGACTGGGAGCTCATTCCCTCTTGAGTCAGGTCTTTCCATGTTTGGCTACCAGAAACTCCCTCCTTAGAGTAGTGGAAATGTGCTTTACTGTCAGTCCTGCTCACAGGTTCCATTCTGCCCTCTGGAGCCACACCAGGTAAGTCTAGTTCGTCTTCCACAGCTTGATGGCTAAGTATGTGAACTGCGAAAGCAGATGATGAGGGTTCAAATTCTGGCTCTGCCATTTACTAGCTCTGTGGCCTCAGATGAACGTCTTTACCCTTCTTGGCCTCTGTTTTTTCATCTGTAAAATGGAGGTGATAATTGCACCTCCCTCACAGAATTATATCAATATTAAATGAGTTAATAGATATAAAGCTCTTAGAATAACACCTGACATATAATAAGTGCTCAGTAAGTTGTACTATCTGAGGAAAGATGTTTTGTTTCCTCCTTTCCTCTTCTTTCCTTGAGTTACTATCCTTTTGAAAATAGTCTTCACATAGCGTAACTCCACCATGTCTCACGACCTGGAAATTATTCTCCTATTAGTACAGTGAAGACTAATTGATTTGGGGAAATCTGCCTCACCCAGTTGGTTCCTGTTGATCTTGTGGTCAGCAAAAATCCCAAGATCCTTTCACTTGGTCCTCTCAGGGCTGGACCCTCACGGTGCTCCAGCTTGACCTTCCCCTCACCAATCCTCCAAACCGCCCTGTGCACTCTAGACCTTCTGGGCACAGGCTCTGCACCTTCTCAGTGTGGCACCCAAGGTCTAGAATGCCCTTCTCTCTTCCCCATTGGTCAATTCATCAGTTTCTCAGCCCTTCCTCCTCAGTAAAGCCTTCAAGGTCAGTCACACCAGAGTGGTTGGTTTCTTTGCCATTGTCCCATCCCTGTGGTGGGCCACACACCTGTCTTCTTCCCACCTGTAGTGCACTGACCCTTAGCCGATGCAGGTACGACCCACCTTGGCTTTGAGGTCTTACCCTTATTCTGCCTGTTCCTTCCACAGGCTTGGGGCTCAGAAGGCCTAGTCTGCTGTTCTCTGTCTAGCAGAGAATAGTGTACGAGCAAGTATGTGACACGGCACATAAGAGCCCCTCACGGTCATGCCATGGTCTCTGCGTCCTCTACACTTCCCCACAGAGGGACATCCTGTTCCAGTGGCTGCAGTGGATGAGGGCTGGACCATCTGACAGACGCCTGGTCAGGCAGGGAAGAAGTGAACAGTTCTGACGCACCCTACTTCCCTCCCCTCTCCAAACTCTTAGCTGTTTTTTTTTTCCTTTATTTTCCTTCCTGTGTTGAAAGAGCTACGGGGCCTGGACCATGGTAGAGTTTCCTGGGGACATTCCACAAATTCCTCATGGACTGATGCTCTGGAGAGGGTGGGGGCAAGCGGGTGGGTAAATGGGAGGCTAGTGGGAGCCAGGGTATAAGTATTGGGGTGCCTCAAAGGAGCGTGGGTGGAAAGGAAGGGCGGGCTGCACAGGAGAAGGAGTGATATTATGAGCTCATAGAAACAGCCGAAGGAAGGCCAAATGAAGACTGAGAAGTAGTGGCCACTGTGCAGGTTGGAACAAGCTGTGGGCAGCCACGCCCCTAGCCTTGCCCTTGAACCCGCTGACTTGCCTCCATAGCGACTTGTCCGCCAGGATTCCAACAGGGCCGGGAGAGCTTGGCTAACTTGGGTGTGTGGCTTGGAAAGATGCCCCAAGCAGCCCCCTGTGCGTGCTGCACAAGATGTACAGAGATAACGGGAGGGTCAGCACAAGGGTTCCTTTGCGTCTGTCTGGGTCACTCCTCCTTTGTTCTGTTCTCATACACCCGGGTCAGCAACTGTTCATTCCTTAACTCAGACACAGGACTGATGTGAATGGAGGCACAAGTCCCTGGCTGAGCTCCTTAGCAAGCCTGGACCTGAAGATAGTTCTCGGCCTCCATCCCTGTGCTCCAGGGCTGACTCTTCAAGTAAAAAGGGTGCCAAATTGAGTGTCAGGGCAAGAAGTGACTTGTCACAGTCTCTATGCTTGGACAAGTCACTTGTCTTCTTTGGACCTCAGTTTCCCTGCCGAGCAATGAGTGTATTGGGCCAGATGATCTCGAAGATTTCTTAGAATGGTTCTATTTCTCAAAAGCAGCTTGGGGGCCTATCCCATGTGTGAACACTTGGTGAAAGAATTAGGCAGAAGGAGGTAAATAAATATGAATGGAGCATGACTCCTGCCTTTAACAGAACTTTCAAGGGAATAAAGGAGACAAACAGTCACACAAATGATCCAGAACAGTGAGTGAAGGCCCTGGAAGAACTAGGGAAGGTGCTGAGCACCAACCTCACTGTGGGTACTGCTGGCCCTTCAAAAGCCTTTGTGCATTAGAGAAACAGTCGGTCTCTGTGGGCAGATGACTTAATAAGGGGAGCCCCTCTGGATGGATGTTAAGACCCTAGGGTACCTGGCTTGACAGAGAGAGTTCAGGCTTGATTTCAACTCCTGCAGGCTCCTTGCCCCAGTGCCCCTACGCAAGGTGCTGTCTACCTGTCTATACAAGCAGGGAAGTAGCCAGCCGCAGGGGTCCACGCTGAATTCCACACTGGCCCAGTGGAATATGCCACTTTTAAATCTTGGTAGAATCTCCCAAGGCAACTCCCCCTCCCCCGAGTTCTGGAAAGGCAAACGCAGGAACCACATCCATACTCTCTTCCATGGGCCTAAAGGCCAGGCCAAGGTCCTCGGTCCCAGGCAGAATAGGGGCACAGGATGGCAACAAGTAGCAACCTCTCCACAGAGCGAGAAAAGGGTTAAAGGGCCTTAGCATCAAGAGAACCAAAAGCAGTCCGGACAGTTCAGCACCTCCGCACAAACCTAGACCAGTGTTTCTCACCTCCTCTGGCCGCAACTCAGAACAAGCAGAACATGCAAATTCTTCCTCAGGCTCCCTCCCTGCCACCCCCTCCCTCCACATTCCCGAAAGACATCTCTCCCTGGGCTCTAAATGGATTTGAGGGAAAGAGCTGCCCGGGGTGCTGTCAACATCAAAGGGTGAGATGCGCTGAGGTCTTGCATGGGCCTCGATCCACAGGTGGCGGGACAGGGGAAAGGTGGCAGAAGGGTAAGCTTGGGAAAAGGGGATTAGCTGGGACCGGAAAGAATGAGGCTGCTGTAATCCCACATAATGAACCGGACTGCGCTTGTCTCTGCACCCTGAGCTCTAGATAAGCAGGTACAAGCTGCTGGCTTCAGCCCGCTGCACCAGAGGCCCTCTGAACTGCCGGCCCCAGCCAGTGCCCTCCCGAGGTGCCCAGGGCAGGCATGAGATGAGATATTGACTTCCTCCTGGCAGCTCAAGTCTTGAGGGGGGGGAGCAGAAGGTCAGGAAAGAGTCTGTGATTGCAGGACGAGGCAAGGCAGGAGGGCAGTTTCTCACTCAGGCACCATACGCTTGGATTCTTCGAATTGGGCCCAGTCACCTGCTCTGACCAGCTGCTTTGGACGCAACAAAGACTTCTGACCAGTGCCATCAATTCTATGAACGTGGCGAGGGATTTGTGATGTGGGTGATTCATAACGCAGATAGTCAAAGCATCAATTCTACTTGGTTTGCAGATAAAGGGTGATTCTTTTTTCCTGCCCTCAGAGGGAGGTGCCTGTCTAATTCCGTGAAGTTTGGGCAATACTGAAATATGCTTGCCTTCCCTAGACACTCGCTGACTAACGACTGGAGGAAGCAGCTAGAAGATAAGCCACAAAATGAACCCCTACCTACTCCCCGATTCTAACCCCCTTCAAGAAAAGGAAGAGTTGCCTGTATTATATCTCCGCCAACAGCTGAACAGCACCGGGTGTCTGGGCTCATGGACTCTTACCTTTTTCAGCTTGCCGCTCTTCGTCCCCACAAAAACCACGCTGTAGCCATTGTAAACGTAGGAGGCCACGGAGGTCATGCGGTCCCGGCTGGTGGTATACAGGGTCAGGCCCTCCACTGGAGTCGAGCCTCCCAGTGGCTGGTTGATGTCCAGTCCACAGAAGTTGTCGTCGATGGGGACCGGCTGGAGGGAAGGGAGGGGATTGGGGTAAATGACAGCAGAAGTCGGGCAGAGTCTCCTTACACTAGCCCCCACCCAACCGTCAACTCGAGGGCACAAGGCCTCCCAGAGGTACACACGTGGGGTTCAGGAACCTAACACATGCCTCAAACAAAAACATCTCACCAAGGGACTCACAAATCCCACTCTGGCTCCTGTGAAACTAGATAGAGGGGTCTGCAGCCTTCCTCACCCTAACCCACAGCCACTCATCCACTCTTCTGCCAAGGGATCAGGGGTCATCTGGAAAGCTGATTGCTTGCACTCATTTTCTGGTCATTTTAATGTCCCTGGGGACCAAACCCTTCTGTAGGCATGCTTCTATTTAGACAGGGGAGATTCTGTCTGGAAGTGTCATCACAGGATTTCCATCAGCTGGAGAGGATTTGTGTCTTGGGCTGCCAGGTCTCCCTTTGGGCATAAGGAATTGTAAGCCATCCCATTATTCACCAGATCCTATACCGGGGATAGATTGAAAAGGATCATCATAATACGGGACAGGCCCTCATACTTTGGAAAACTTACTTCACCGGCATAAATCTCAGTTTCTTCATTTGTCATACTGCTTGACCACTTTTCTGGGAAAATTATTGAAGAGCAAACGGAAGAATCCATTCCTCAGAGCTTTGTTAAGTCATACAATGGTTTCCACTATTGTATACTATAGGTCTTCAGCCAGGTTCACAGAGAAAAACACAAGAGAATGCTGGAGGTGATAGCCTTCCTGTTACCGGGCTTTTGAAGGGTCTGGTGGTGTGCCTAGATAAAGAGTCTCTTTCAGGAAACACTGGGGCACCCTGGAAAGAAAACCACCCTGAGCCAATGAAAAATTCGCTTACCCCAAAGTAGGAAGACCTGAATTCTGGCCTCTGCTCAACTGCTAAGTGGCTGTGTAAACCAAGAACAGTAATATCCTCTCTTGGGCTTGTTAAAGGGGATAGTAAATGGATTATTTCTAAGATCTCACTTAGTTAGAAGAAGAAGAAGAAGAAGAACAAGAAGAACAAGAACAAGAACAAGAAGAAGAACAAGAAGAAGAACAAGAAGAAGAACAAGAAGAAGAAGAAGAACAAGAACAAGAAGAACAAGAAGAAGAACAAGAACAAGAACAAGAAGAACAAGAACATGAAGAACAAGAACAAGAAGAACAAGAAGAAGACTGCATGCTTCCTGAGGACAGGGGCTGCTGAGGGGCTTGTTTTGCCTGCAAAACACTCATCTGGTGCAACAGATGATGGGACTGGGTCGTGATGGGTCCCCTGAGACACCCCAGCTGACTGTACAACCAGGAATGCTGTGGGCAGAGGCTGTAGACTCTGGGCCAGAAGGAACCCAGAGTTCCGTGATAGCTGTTCCTCCTGGGTCTGAGAAGGCAGCCCAGAGAAGGAAGGAAATGATTATTGTGGGAAACACAGAAAGCATGAGGGAGAAACCTGCAAACTGTTCCCTTCCACTTCCTCCTCTCACCCTCACCGGGGAAGAACAGGCTGGTGCATCACTCACTGACAGCTAATTTCCTTGGAAGAAATGATTTATGAGCTAGGGCATGTGATGGCTAACCCAGGGACTTCCCTTCTGTTCCCTTCCTAGATCCAAAGGGAATAGAGACTCGGATCTTGTGAGTCCTTGGCGTTTTGCTGCCCCTGATACTGGTGGGAAAGGTGGAGCTGCCCTTGTGTGTGTGAGAGTGTATGGTGTGCCTGTGTGTGTGTGTGTGTGTCTGTGTAAATGTATGCGTTCTTTAGCAAAGGGACTAACATTCAGGTTAAGGATGACCTTGAACAACTAGATAATAGGGAGACACAGCAGAAGAGATAAGCTCCTCAAGAAGGGAGTGAAGCAGTGGCATGCTGGACAGCTCATGAGGGATGACTGTACACCTGTCTGCATTCAGTGGCATCACATTGGTGGCTTGAATGTGGCCACGGTGGGAGTATTTACACCTTGGAAATTGGCAAATGCTTCAAATCAAGTGTCCCCACTCCACCCCCACTCTCTGCACATAACCAACTGTAATATTTACTAGCACATCACTAGACCCAGTGATGGAAATTTCTAGCTCCCAAGAAAGGCAGGTCAGAGGAATCAGTTACCACGTTTTACATTTTCTACTTCTCTTTCTTATCGCTACACTGTATGCAGCAGGTACCCTGGTAAGACTCAAGAAATCTAAATTGTAGTCCTGTTGCTACCACTATCCAGCCATGTGACCTTGGTATACCACAGACCCTCTCTGAGCCTCCGTAAAGTGAAAGGATTGGACAAGGTGATGGTCAAGCTTTCTTTAGCTCTGAAAGTCCTTGATTCAGGGCTTCAGTTTCTTTCCCACTTTCTCCAGGGGCTGGTAAGGCTGCAAAATCTGGGCATAGGCATAGTCCAAGCCAAATTCTGAGAAATGATGACAAAAGCAAAAAAACCTGCCAGTGATTATGGATTTCTCTACATTCCTCCTGATTCTAAAATCTCCAGAACTGTAAGGGAAATGTTTTTTTTCCAGAATCTCAGCCCCTGGAGTTGACTGGCATTTCTTTCTCATTTCTCTAAATTGTCAGGTGTTTCTAAATAGCTGATGCCCCTTTATTTTTGCTCAAATGGTGAGAGCTTGATGTATGGTTTTCCTTAGCAGCAGCAAGGCTAAACAGAAAGAGCTTGGACTCAGAAGTCATAATGGGCTGAGCTGAACTCAAATCCCTGCTTTGTCATCAGAGTTGTGTAGATTTAAGTAATTTACTTCATCTTTGTGAGTCTTTGTTTTTCCATCTGCCAAATAGGGATGATCCTCTTTGGTTCATAGGGTTATACCAAGGCTCAAATAAGATACCACTTAAATTGGCCAGCTTAGTCTTTAGTACAGAGCTTCCATTCAGTGAGTGATAGTCCTCTTCCTCATCCCTTTTCTGGGTGCAAAGCTCAAGTCCTTCATCTGAGAGCTCCACGCCAGTCCAGAGATTATGTTAAAATTAAGCCCTGGGACCACAGCTTCGCTCACCCACCCCTAACCCTCTCCAAGGCCACCAAATGTTTCTGGATCCCCAGGTCTGGGACTCCTTAGATTATAAAGACTTTAAGCAGCAACTCCTATTCCAGCTTCCTTGCCCACCCTGCTGTAAAGGTTGCACCAGATGAGTGTGACTCTCAGGGGTGGGACAGGGGGACTGAGAAGGGGCTGTTCTCTGAGGTCCTGGTCCCACCTACTGTCACCTCTCTCCCAGTGCCTTTGTTGCTCTTTGGTCACTAGCCCAGGCTTGTCTCTCTGCAAGCCACTGGAGCCAGAGAAGGGTGTAGGCTTCCTCTTCCCTCTGGCTCAGAAGCAGGCAGGAATCAGCAGTTTCCTCCTGACAAGGCCCCCTCTGGGCAATGGGAACCAGGCAGGACTGTGGAAGGGGGTTAACCCTTGCATTTCCTCTCCACCTCTCCTGACTGGTTAGGGACCATAAGGTATAGAATATCAGTGCTGTAAAGAACTTTGGAGATTATCTAGTTCAGCCTCCTCATTTAATAAAAGTGAAATAATATGGGTGCCTAGGTGGTACAGTCGGTTAAGCATCTGACTCTTGGTTTTGGCTCAGGTTGTGATCTCAGGGCCCTGATCTCAGGGTTGTGAGATCGAGCCCCTTATTGGGCTCCACGCTCAGGTGGGAGTCTGCTTGAGATTCTCTCTCCCCCTCCCTCTGCCCCTCTGGCCCATGTGCTCTCTCTCTCTCTGTCTCTCTAAAATAAATAAATTAATTAAAAAAAATAAAAGTGAAATAAGAGCAAATAACTGGTTCTGTTATTGTGATTAATATTAACAATTATAGCTTCCATTTATTGAATGCTTATTATGTGTCAAGTATGGTGCTAAGCACTTCATATACATTTTCTATTTGATCTCCATAACAGTCATAAAAAGAGGATAGTATCATCTCTATTTTAAAGATGAAAAATTACAGCTCAGACCAAATACATAGCTTGCCCAGAGTCATACAGTTTTAAGTGGTAGAACTGATTTTAAGTACAAATCCACTGGACTTCAAAGTCTATTGTCTTAACCACTATCCTATCATACCAAGCAAATGATGGCGGGAACAGAAGCACAGATGAGGCATGACACGTTTTCTTGCTTTAAGATGTGGTTTTTGCTTCCAATAGCAGGCACCCTCAATTTAGGGTACACAAAAGGCCATACAGGCCCCTTGGTCTCAGATTTTTCCCCAGGCTGCAAATCCACAGGCTACAACACTTTGCACAGAAATCTATCTTAGCACTTGTCACACATCCCGATAGTTAACTAATAATGGTAAACCTAACACAGTGCTAATCTGTGCCACGTATTATCTTATCTGATCATCCCATGAGGTAAGCATTATGATCCCCATCTCACAGATGATAATGTAGAGACATTAAATTACTTTTGAAGCCAGGAAGTGGCACAGATAGTATCTGGACTGCGATCTTTGTCTCTGAGGCCCAAACTCCTAGCCACTGTATTACATTGCCAGTATCTCCCTCTCTTTCCCTCTCCCTTTCTCTCTCTTTCCCACTAGATTATGAGACATGTGAGAGTAGTTATTACATCTTTTTTATATGTGCATCCCCAGTGCCCGGGACAGTGCTAAGCACTCGGAACATCTTCAATACTCTCTTGTTAAATGGATGGATGGGTGGGTGAATGGATGGGTGATGGATGGATAGAGGGAGGGATGAATGGATAGATGGATGGATGATGGACGGATGGATGATGGACGGATGGATGATGGATGGACAGATGGGTGGATGTATAGATTGTGGTGACCACTTAGATGGCAGCATCTTGACCCTCTGTCAGGACAGTGCTCGCCACTGATGTTCTTGTATCTGCTGTCCTCAGGTCTGGATCCCGAGCTTCCCTTCCTCTCCTCTTTTCCCTTTGCCCAGACTCTGGATTCTTCTTCCCTAGTTTTCAATCTACCAGTCAAGCTTGACTCCCTTCCCTCTCCTCCGACTTACACATCCCCCTGACTATGCGACTCCTGCACTTGGCTTCCCAGTGGCCTACAAAGCCCTCCATGTGCACTATCTGGTCCCTGTCATCATTGCCCGGCCTCATCCCTTACTGCAGCGGCCTCCCTACCTCTTCACACACACCAGGCATGCCCTGAATTCTTTGCACTTGCTGCTGCCTCTCCGGAATGTTTTCCCCAGATATCAACATGACTCACTTCCTTACCTTCCTCAGTCTTTGCTCAAATGCCACTTTTTCAATGAATCAATCTTCTTGGGTACTGCCCCTCCCTCTTCCCTGCTTCATTTTTCTCTACAGTAATTATTGCCATCTGACAGACTACACCTCTGAGGTATTTATTTATCACCCCTCACTCATGAAAGCTCCACGAAGCCAGGGCACTTCGCTGGCTCGGTGGCTTCAGAAGCCGGCCAGGCCTACACCAGGGCCTGGTGTGGTGCATTTTTGGAACAACTCGCTGGATCAACACACACACTCCAACTGTCGGGGCTAGGTCAGGCTCTGTGTTCCTGGTTCTAACCAGATAACGTGAACCTGAAAACCCCTGTCTTTTGAGGCCGTGGGTGGCCCGGTGAACAGGGTGCGCACCGGGTCACCCGCCGGAAAACGGACTGCGGGAGGGAGGGATCAGGGGGAGGGGGAGGGGAGCGCCTCCTTACCGCCTTGGTGCACTGGACGTCCTTCCCCAGGAGCCAGTTGAGCTCCAGGTTGCCCTCCCCCTGGTAGCAGGACTGCAGGCGCTCCTTGATCTGCAGGTTGATGGCCCGAATGGGGAAGGCACAGAGGGCAGAGTCGTCTGGCGGGTGGTGGTACTGCTTCTGCCCTTTGGAGAAGAGAGCAAAGAGCACATCATCCTGGCCGCTGATATTGAAGGCCTGGGCCAGGGAGTCCCCGGGTTTGGCGAGGTAAGCGGCCTGCAGGAGGCGGTACTCCACGCCAGCCCGAGTGCAGCCGAAGGGCAAGGACACGTAGGAGTGGAACTTGGGATCGTCCTTGCAGAGGCGAACGATGCGGGACGTGTAGAACAGGTCCCCCGCCGAGTTGATGGCCACGCCCTCGGGGGTCTCGGGCTGCACCGTCAGGAAGTAGACGAAGCCCCCGCTGGCGAAGCCGTAGATGTAGAAGATGTCGAAGTGGGCGACCAGGGCCAGGGTGTCGGAGGGGATCTTGATGAGGGAGGAGACGAAGTCGCTGTGCAGCTCGTAGTCGAGCATGGCGGAGGACTCGGGGTCGCGGGGCAGCTTCCGGCTGGACAGGGTCGGGAAGTAATCCTGCTTGCCGTCCACGGCAGTGCCGATGAACAGCTTGCCGTCCTCGCCGTCCGAGCGCACGATCACGCCGTACATCGTGCCGGTCTTGTTGACGCTGGACAGGTAGTGCTCCTTCTTGTGTGACGGCTCCACCAGGATGAACAAGTCGTCCAGCCGCAGCAGCTTGCACACCCCCTGGTAGAGGCTCCCGCAGGCCAGCAGGCGGTTCTCCGAGTAGTCGATGATGAGCAGCTTGTTGACGTTGTTGGTGAGGGTCAGCACCTCGCCGCAGGGCTGCACGATGAGCGGGGGGTAACAGGACTTGTTGTCCTCTTCCGGCCCCGTCTTGTGAGCCACCTGGATGGTCAGGTTGCCCGTCAGCTTGTACACCCGATTGATGGCCCCCACGTATACTGCCCCCGTGCCTCGGTGCACGGTCAGGTGGTTGAAGGTCCAGTCCCGGTTCTCCGAGTGGAAGGTGCTGAACTGAGGCATGCCGGCCGCCCCGGGAGCCAGCAGCACCCAGACCATGGAGAGCAGGACCACAGACCAGCTGTCAACCTCTGCAGCGCGTGGCCAGGGCCTCCTCTCTTCCATTCTGAGTGGGGTGGAGGGGAGGAGGACACAGATCCTCGGAGTTCTCATCTACTCCACCTTCCTGGGCTGGCCCTCACATGGTTCTGGAAAACACAAGGCAGAGTGGTCAGATGGAAAAAATAAATCCTGGGAAGAGGGAATAGGATGGCTTGACCCAGGGTCCCAATCCCGGCTAGCTCTGAGTCTCTTCCTTCTGTATTTTGGTTTTTCTATTTTTAATATACTCTCCCCCTCTTTGGGATGTTCAGGGAATCCTGTTATCTATTTTGGTCTCCAGCCTCTACGCTGTAAAATACTTTTTTTTTTTACTTTACAAAGCATCTCTATTTTTGTCTTCTTAAGACGTCGTTTTTATCTCTTGGAGAGGTTAAAAGACTGTTTAAGTTCACCCAGCCAGTCGATCTGAGTGTCGGCACTAAAGCCGGTCTTCCCTACCCAGATGTCACGTCTGTCCTCTCCCGGTCGAGTGGAAATCTCTCCTGTTTTTGAAAAGCTTATTTAGAAGGCCCTCTTCCAGGCTCTCTAGGACAACTACTCCCAGAGCCTGATGTCGCCAATAAAATTCCTTCTTATTCCAGACTACCCAGCCCCTCACACTGCTGCATTTCAGCGCTTTTTCATGCTCTGCCCTCCACAGGGAAGGAGAAGGGCTGTTCATCCTGAAAAACAGTGCCCCCCACTGCTCCTCAGCCTCGTCGTCTCCAGAAAGGAGAGGCCCTGAGTGTTAGCTGTTGAAACTTGTTAAAAAAGTGAAATATGGGGAGACTGATAGGACTGGGGTTCTCACGTGTGCCATTCAGGGGCCTGAACAGCCCCAAGGAGAAGCGTGGACACTCCCCCCACCCCACTCTGGGACAGGGGGATGGCAGCCACTGCCTCTCTGGTGAGCCGAAGGTGCTCCCACTTTGGCCGCTCTACAGGTGAAGCCCGGGAGGAGCCAGCCTCTTTGCTGAGGGGAACTGGCTACCTGAGTCCAGCTTGAGCCACCTGGGCAAGAGTTCTGGGTTTCGAGAACGGGGAGAGGAGCAAAGGGAGGTGAGTCTATGATCAGTCTCATTCCAGCCCCTGCTGGGGCCCCGTGACTGTTTAAGGATGCGTGAAGTCCATGCCAGGCCTCAGCCTGTCCTGCTTGAAGTCCAGTCACTCTCCTGTCCCTCCGACCCCCAGGCCCTAAAGCTTTTCTGTATTCTAAGGAAGCTGCCCAGAAGGGCAAGGTGGGGCTCCTGTGGAGAGCTTCCAGACTCCTGGGCAGAGAGGATGGGAGAGTAGAGCTTGTCCCATCTCTAAGAGCACTGCCCCTGACTGTCAGGGACAGGGACAGTGGCGAGGCAGCGAGCTGTCTGGCAGAGAAATCTGCTCTCCAGCTGGACAGACTATCCGGCAACCTTCTCAGACAAGTCCAGACAGAACTCTGGGCAGGAATGGAAACAACCAAACCAAGGATGGAGAATTTGCTCCAAGGCGGCTTAGAAGAGTCGTGTCTCTTTCAACTCCGCCCCCGCCCCCGTGCGCCCCCCCCCCCCAAATCTGGCTGGAATGGGTTAGAATTAGAACAGGCGCCACCTTGGAAATCCGCAGTTTTTGCTCTGTGTCTTTAGAAACGCTCCTCCTCAAGGCCTGACAGCCACCATGGTGCCAGAGCGAGGCCCCACCTGACCACCCTCCTCCAACCAGGCTCCACTGGGGTGTTCTGGGCTGACTCATGAGGCCCCAGGCTTCCTTGGAAAGAGGAAGGCACCAGCGGCATGAGGCCCAGGCTGACCTCAGCGGCTCCGACACAGCCCTTCCGGCCCCACGCGCGCACCAGCAAAGTCTCCCGACAGACAGGGCTTTCGGTTTGGAAACCAGAGGTTATTTTTAGTGACGTCCTGGGGCCGGTAGCAGGACGTGAATTCCTCAAGAGGAGCTGTGGAAAGGAAATAACAGAATCCTCCCATTCTGCAGCTGGACTGGGAACGACCAGAGACCATTCTGGGCATGTCCCTGTCTCTGGGTAGGAAAGCTCCTCTGGCCCGGCGGAGGGCAGGGTGTCCCACAAGGGGCTGTGAGGGAGGCCGCGAAAGTGTCACCACCCCACACGTGGGGTTTGGCCGTTGAGAAAGTGTGCTCTCAGACACCCCAGCACTGAGCTGGTGGGAATGTTACACTCCTGCCTTCTCACAACATGCGTACAACATACATGTTTAGCCCGTGGCTGGAGGAAGAAGGTTCTGGTAGCAGAGATAACAACAAAGCACACGGTGTGAGGTTAAGATCAACCATCTCACCACCCCCCCCCCCCCCGGCCCCCCAGCTCACTCTCCTCCTGAGGCACAGTTTGAAAAGTGAGTGGCTTTTGTTAGGCACAATCTGGGGACAAGTTGGGCTCTGGGGCAAGCCAAGTCTCATCTCCCTTTCTGGCAGAATGAGGGCAACGACAGAAGGTACCTCTCAAGGTTGTCACAAGAGCGAATGAGATGACGTGGGGAACCTCTCAGCGTGGCGCCTGGCACACAGTGAGTGCTCAACTTATGCCAACTGTTATTATCATCACTGAAGCCTCCCCAGGAGACTGCACTTCAGGAATCCTGCCAGAGCTCCTGAGCTCCATTTTCGCTCATTGTCTTCCTTTCCATGGGAATAAACATTGTGGTTAGACCTTGAGGCCCAGCTCTCCCTGACCCAGTGAAGGCGCTCAATCTGGGAAGCCTGTGTCAGGGGAAAGGGAATAGATCCAAGGCCATCTTCTCTATCATACTACTGCACAAGTCCCAACATAGCCTCTCAGCAGCCAGCAGGGAAGCTGGTAGAAGTACAGAACGCTGGGAGGTAAACTATGAATGGGAAAATGGCGTGATAGCTATGAAGTCTTAGGGCAGGAGGAAGAGTGGGGGGGCCTCGGGAACCCAGGATTCAAATCCTGCCTGTGTCCCCCATGAGTACTATGGCTTTAAACTGGTCTAGCATCTTCCTGAGCCTATTTCTTGATCTTAAAATAAAGAGTGCTTGAATTAACCAGTTTGTACGATTTCTTCTTTCAGATGAAGTGATAACCTTGAGGCTTGTTTCCTTTAGCTTCTAGAGTTTGCCATTGAGACTGAGGTCCTTCCACGCTACCTGGTAAGGCTGGTTGGGCCAGGAGTTCTCAACAGACCACTACAGTGGGCTGTTTCCCTCTCATTCCTTTATCAGCATCTATTCTGGGACTGACAGCTCCTGGGACCTTCTGATCTTAAAGCAGCAGGTACTGGTGCACAGGAGTCAAGAGGAGGCATGGTCTGCAGTGCAGGGCTGGCAAGGGAGGCTCACGGTCCACTTTGGGAATGTGGCTTTCCCAAGGACAACGGACTTAACAGCCAAGTTGGGAGCCTCCGTCTCTCCATGCCAAGGCTGATATTACCAAGTAGCCATTCCAAGGCGGGGCCCGCTGGCAAGGATCAGGTCTCCTATCTGAGTTCAGAGGAAAGAGAACATTTGTGCCTCTGGTGAGAGACAGTGTGCTCTAATGGTTAAATGCATGAGCTCTGAACTTAGCTGCTTGGATTCAAACAGAGCCGACAGCTGTGTAAACTTGGTCAAGGTACGTAGCCACTCTGTGGTGCTCTGTCCCTATCTATCTAAAATGGGATTAGTAGTAGTATCTATCTCATAGGATTATGACCATGAAGTCAGTTAATGCATATAACGCACTTAGAATGATGTCCATTTGAAACGTTCCAGAGACATTAGCCTTTATTATTAATAATTTATTTGTCAATATTTCCAGCTCTTCATGAACTCCGCCATTCCATGATCTGTCTTAAAATGAATTCTCCAGCCTCGGTTTGGTAGAAGCCAGCAAACATGTGCCTATGACTTTGTATACCCAGCATTTCGTCCTAATACCAACTGTCTAATGTCAACCTGGGGAGTTTTCCCTTAATGATGCCTCCTTCTTTCCGTCATTTCTCTCTCTGTGGCTGTTTGTGAAGTCAGTTTGTCAGATGCATTCTCAAGAGCCAAAAACTTGCCTATTCTCTCTTCTCCCCACCCCCAGTCCAATTCAGGACATGCTGCTCCAGGACACTCGCCCTATCAGCCGACCCTCTGGAGACATGTTACTCAGAGCATGCCGCATACCAAGGAGAGGTCACACTTGCCTCTTTGGGAAGCAAGTATCACTAAATATTTTATCTGGAGGGCTTGATGACACTGTCTCCCCGATCAGGACTCAGGAGGCAGACGTTGGGGACAGCCAGTGGAAGCATCTAATACCTTCCAGATCAGCTGCTGTAGGTGTCGGAGGCAAAGCAGGGAGGAAATGACAATCAGGCACTCCCAGTTCAGCTCAGGGCAGGACTCTCTCCTCCCCGCCTACCTGCTCTGGTGCCTTTTCCCAGGAGATCTGGGTGACGCAGACCTCTATGACCTCTATGCTTTCACTTGGTCTCCATTATAGCAAAAGGAGCCAATAGGAAGAGGAGTTAGAATCGGGATACCATCCTTCCTTCTTCCTTCCTTCCTTCCTTCCTTCCTTCCTTCCTTCCTTCCTTCCTTCCTTCCTTCCTCCCTTCCTCCCTCCTTTCCTTCCTTCCTTCTTTCCTTCCTTCTTTCTATAAGAAACCACAGATCATGGAAAGAAAAAATTGTCCAATGTGACCCCAAATGAGTCACGGACAGGCTAGACCTTGTGACAAAAAGCCTCGTGCTTCCTCTGCTGTAGGTGAAAGGGTCCTGGGAGTCAGTTATGTTCCACCTCGAGACTGCCCTATTTGAGGGAAAGAAGGTGCCTTTGATGGTGGCAGTCCCCTGATGGGCAGAAGTGAGCCTGCCGCCAGGCCTGGGCAGGGAGTGAGTTCGCAGGGCAGACTCAAGGAGGAGAGGGACTAGGGACTGAGGGGGACGAAAGAGCCACTGTCAATGGCTCCTTTCTCTGTCGGGAGAACGACCTCCTCTGACCTACTCAAAGCTGCAGCCGTTGTGACATGCTGGAATGGCACCCACACTGTGACTTGGGGGCTGTGCTGTCCCATGCCACATCCCTCTGGGCTGCAGACAACCTCACAGATAGGTCAGATGTAGTCTAAGCGGCAGGAAGCCTCTTCCCCCAAAGAGTTAGAACTGC